GTAATCTAGCCGAACGATCGGCTAATTGTATTGAGATTCTTGTTGGCTTCATCTCACCAACTTTTAAATTTTTCGCAATTGAGAAGGGCATCAAGCTTACACTTGCCCCAAGATCACAAAGAGCATCCATGGCTTCCATATCTCCAATCTTCACCGGAATTGCATAGCTACCCGGGTCACCAAGCTTTCGGGGAAGCTTGTTTTGAATGATTGCGCTCACCTCCATTGGAAGGGAGATGGTTGCACTCTCTTCAAGCCTACTTTTATTGGACAAGAGATCTTTTAAAAATTTCGCATATGTAGGCATTTGTGACATAGCATGAAGAAAGGGAATGTTCACTTGGAGCCCTCTCATGACCTCAAGGAACTTTGAAAACTTCTCATTCAATTTTTTCTCTACCAACCTATGAGGGAAAGGAATAGGTGGCTTGTAGACTCTCATTGGGGGTTTCTCCACTTCTACTTCAACTCCCTCTCCTTTCTTTGTGTCTCCCTCAACACTCTTTTCTTTTTCTTTTCTCTCAACTTCTACCACCTCATTTTCAACATCATTCTCACTTCTCACCTCCACACCCTCATCTCTCTTTTGTGGCACATCTTCACTCATTACCGGACCTTCATACCCTCTCCCGGACCTCAATGTGATAGCCTTGACATGCTCCTTCGGGTTCACAACCGTTGAGCTTGGAAATTGACCACTAGCATTGGAGGTAGAACTCCCAACTTGTTGTGCAATTTGAGCTAGTTGATTCTCAATTATTTTGTTGTGCGCTTGAAGTTGTTGGATGTTGGAGCTCATTTCTGCATTGCTCTTCCCTTGTTGATTTATGAAAGACTCAAGAGCGGCCTCAAGGGAAGTCTTTTGGGGTGGAGGAGGTTGTTGGTTGAATTGTTGTCTTTGTTGGTTTGGATGGCGGTATGGGGCTTGGTGATTTTGTTGATTTTGGTTGTAGATGTTTTGAGGAGGGTTGTTGTAGTTGGATTGTTGGTTTTGATTGGGTTGTCTCCACCCTTGGTTTTGTTGCCTCCAACCTTGATTGAAAGGTTGCTCATTTCTTTGGTTCACGGCCGCAACTTGCTCATTAGTAGCATTGCAATATGAAGCCATGTGATAATTACCCCCACAAGTCTCACAAGACATGACTTGTGGTTGTGGTTGTGAAGAGGAGGTACCGCTTGAGGAGGTTGCTTGGTCTAGCTTGTGAGCTAGCATATCAAACTTTGAGGCAATGAGATCTATTGCACTCAACTCATGCATACCTTTCTTCTTCGGTTGACTTTCTCTTCTATCATATCTATAGGCGTAATGCCTTGCAACTTCTTCAATCATATTCTCGGCTTCTTCCACCGGTAGCTTTTTAAGACTACCACCGGCTCCGTTGTCAATATTGGCCCTTGAGGTAGGAGTGAGACCGTCGTAGAAGCTTTGAATAATCATCCATAAAGGCAACCCATGGTGTGGACACTTCCTCTTTAGATCCTTGAATCTTTCCCATGCTTCACCTAAGGTTTCATCATCCTCTTGAGTGAAGCTTGTAATCTTCCTTCTCAATTCCGCGGTCTTTTCGGGCGGACAAAACTTCCCAAGAAATGCTTTGGTAACCTCTTCCCATGTTGTTAAGGATCCTTCTTTCACGGACCTCAACCAACACTTAGCCTTGTCCCTAAGAGAGAACCGAAACATATGCATCCAAATGAATTCCTCCGTGAGGTTGTTTTTCTTGATGGTAGTGCACAACTCAAGGAAGTTGTCTAAATGAGCTAGAGGGCACTCATTTGCACTCCCCCCGAACTGTTCACTTTGGATCATCCTTATGAGTTGAGGAGAGAACTCATAGTTGTTTGCATTGGTGGTGGGAAGAAGTATGCCACTCCGAAGTTGGAATGCATTGGGGTGGTCATAGTCTTGTAGAAGTGGAGGAGGCGGTGGGTTGGCCATCTCTTGCTCGTTGTCAAGATTATCCTCCGACTCGGAATCCGTATAAGCTAGAGAAAAATCCGGCGTGCCTTGTAGGAGCCTTCTTACGTTCCTCAAAGTTCTATTTAACTCCGGATCTACGGGGATAAGCGGTGATTGCTTACTCCTCCGTGCCATGCACAGTCAAACAAAGCTAAGGAAAACGTTAGCAATGACTATCACAAAGTAAACACGCTTAAACAAAAACAAAATAAGAAGATTATATACATATACACAAATCTAGACTCATTCAACAATATCTTATTCAATGTGACTTTGCCTCCCCGGCAACGGCGCCAAAACTTGATAGGACGTCGTCAACCTATCAAGAAATAAGACCTAACTCGATCCTACTAAACTAGTAGCAAGGGCAAGAAAGGATCGAACCCATGAGAGGCGTTGAATCAACCACCAAATGTTATTGTTTTAAACAAGCTAGATTAAGTCGGGGGTTTTAAGTTGGTATTACGTCACACTATTCTAATTCAAATCAACTAATTCTAAGAGGTGATTAACAATATTAAGAAGGCCTAGGGCATGGGTTACACCACTCAACTTCATCACGGACCACAAGTAGCATGCATAGAAATGGTGATTTAGGGGATAAATTAGGGGAAGTTATCAAATGCACCCAACTACTCTCTCAAGCTAGAGGGATTACTTGACATCAAAACCATAACCTACTCTCGTGATTATGGGCAAGAAACAAGTGTTAAAACATCCTCACGATAACATGCAAATTCCCTTGACTAGAAATTCCTATTCTCATGGCAAATCAAGTCAATCAAGCATAAGGGAGCTTCCTCAAGTTCATCTCTCGATCCTTCGTTGAGGAAGCTAGATAAATAATTCAAGCAATGGCCAATTACAAGAATTAACAATGAAACCTCTTAAACTCAACTAATTAACACCCCACAATTAACAAATTAGTACATGCAACAAGTGTTGGTGATTACATTGAGGGTTCACCCAAACCCTAGAAATTAGACTACTCACAATCCATGGAAGTTAAAGCAATTAAAGATTTCAAGGAATTCATGAACAAATTAAAACTAAGAATTAAGTAGAATCTAACAATTAAACATGCAAAGAACAACCAAACAATTAATAAAAAGCAAGAATTAAAGATAGAAGAGAGAAAGAAAGAGTAAGAAAAATTACTAGAAACTTCAATAATTGACTAACAATGGTGGAACTTGTCTTCTACAATGATTGGATTGAAAACCTTCAAAACAAGAACTAAAATCTATGCTAATTTGAGGATTTTTGTGTTTCAAACTAAGAGGAGTATGAAAATCTGGAAAAAAAATTGGGAACCCCTCTAAAATGGTCCAAAGGGGCTATTTATACTACCCCCTAAAATAAGAGGACGGAGAAAACAAGAAACGGGTAAACTGTAGGTCTGCACGGACGTGCTGAAGTTGGCACGTCCGTGCAGACCAAGGCAGAAACTCAGTTTAAGACGACCTGCTGCAGCACGGGCGTGCACCTTTGGCACGTCCGTGCTGCATCATCTGCACGGACGTACAATATTTGGCACGTCCGTGCTGCCTCATAATCACGGAAGCACGTCCGTGCTGCATCATCTGCACGGACGTGCAATATTTGGCACGTCCGTGCAGGCCTTGGCAGAAAGATGGGTTCAGGTCTGCACTCCTGCACGGACGTGCAACATATTGTACGGCCGTGCAGGGTCTTCTGGGCCCTTTTCTTCGTGTTTTCTTCTACGATGCTCTTGTACTTGGATTCTTTCCATCATTTCCTTGCTTCTAACCTCGGTTTGGTAACCATGGGCTTCATTTGGTCGTCTTTGGACCTAAAATCTCAACAAAAACACTAACAACCCGTGAAGCATAGGATACACAAAAATTGCATAATAATAGGGTAAAAGTGAACCAAAACACAAATTTGTTCAGGTAAACTAGGTTCAAATACACCCTAAAACCGCATAAAATAGCAAGTTATCATGTATCCAAATACTCCAATCGAATACCTTGCCCCGAATGAAATACTCTGTGTGTAATTATGTACCAGAATATACATACATGATTATATTTAGACATAAATCATTATGTATCTCTTAAACATGGTTGATTCAATCATACGGAGTACTTCATACTACTAATATAATACTCCCAAAATTTAATGGCCCCATGGAATTTGAATTTTGGAAATTTTCCCTTTAAATGAAAGTTTTTATAAAACTACCATTAATATGACCATTTGGTCCAATATAATTAGTCAATCCGAAGTACTCGGGTATGATTTTACTACAACGTACTTCATAATACAGAGTAATCAAGTACTTATTTTTCACATATCACTACCCTAACATAATTTGATGACCTGTCAAAAAAAAAAATAAAAAAATAAAAAAAAAAAAAAGAATTTGATGACCCGTTTGCCACCTCTACTTCGGTAGTACATTAGTCACCTCTACTTCGGTAGTACATTAGTGCTATCTGGCTATCTGCTATCAAGAGATTGGAGAGTATGGAGACAGAAAAGAAACAAGCTCAAAGCTGGAGTACATCATACAATTATTTCTGCTTCTATTCATAGACGTTGCCAAATTTGACGTCTAGGTAAACTGATTTAATTTTGGTTTTTCCAGAATTAATTTTTCTTCCAACATTGATTAGCCTATTACAATACTTCATTACATTATCCTGTCCTGGTTGTGAATATCATAGACAAGACAACCAGTATTCAGTTTATAGAGTAGAAAATCAACTGTAATAAGGCCATCAAAGCTATACAACATTGAAATTTGGCATGAATAAAAAAATGAAATTAAAGTAATAAGAAAAATGGACAATTGTTAATATATCACAGATTACTCTCGATTATAATCAACAAGAAAATCAACTAAACAAAATAGAATAATGAACAAATTAAATTTTGTTAACTTTTTTTTTTTTTTTTTTTTTTGGTTCTTCCTCTGCCCGGACTTTGAAGGCCAAGTCTCAACAACAATGACTATAAAACTTGGGAATATGATAACTTCAAAATAAATCGGTCATATAAAAAATATATATCTTCAAGCTGTAATTTCCTTGCGCCAATGGGAAGATTATACTTCTTCCAACTCTATAATCCAACAGAAAAGAATTTAGAAGCACTTGCGGTGAACAATTGATGGACCAGACTCGTCATACTCTGCCTTCGCAATCCACATCTGTAAAATGAATCAAACACAACAGTTGATCATAACCATTCATCACATTAATCGATGCTATATCAACAATTTAGGCCATTATGTATGACTCACTAAAAATTAAGTTTCATGGAACCATGCTCATTTTACAACTAGTAACAAATCTTGACAAGTTCAAACAAGTAGTTATATGATGAAAAAAATGCAGTAGTCTTGTTTTGAGCATTTCAATTACCTGTTGGAATGTGCTGAGAGATGCTAAAATGGATCCTCCAATCCAGACACTGTACTTCCTCTCAGGTGGAGCGACAACCTTGATCTTCATACTGCTTGGAGCCAAAGCAGTGATCTCCTTGCTCATCCTATCAGCAATTCCGGGGAACATTGTGGTTCCTCCACTGAGAACAATGTTGCCATACAGATCTTTCCTGATATCGACATCACACTTCATGATGGAGTTGTAAGTGGTTTCGTGAATACCAGCGGCTTCCATACCAATCATGGATGGCTGGAAGAGGACTTCAGGGCATCTGAAACGCTCACCCCCAATGGTGATAACCTGCCCATCAGGCAATTCATAGTTCTTCTCAACTGAAGAGCTAGTCTTGGCAGTCTCGAGCTCCTGCTCATAGTCAAGAGCAATGTAAGACAGCTTCTCCTTTATATCCCTTACAATTTCTCGCTCAGCAGAGGTGGTGAAAGAGTACCCCCTCTCAGTTACAATCTTCATGAGGTGGTCGGTGAGATCACGTCCAGCCAAATCAAGACGCAAGATAGCGTGTGGGAGGGCATAACCCTCATAGATGGGAACGGTGTGACTGACACCATCACCGGAATCCAAAACAATACCTGCAAATTGATATAACACCCTTGTTAAACATCAGAGGTGCATTTGCATAAATGATCTCTATACACCATATATCAGGTTGAAGGATGCATTACTAGATAAGCAAACTCCATTATATGACAATTATCTCAAAACAAGAGAACGCTGTTTTTTTGGGAATGTAACACATCTTGACAGCCACATTTTCAGTCTTCCAACATTGAATTTATCAACTTTAAAAAGCTAAGCATCAGTTATCACTCATATAATAGCATGCAGAAGTGACTCATACCCCCAATCCCTCTCAACTCTCAAGCATCAATAAGATGACCAAGCGGATAATTTAAAGTCAAGATCATCTGTAATTCACTTACCAGTAGTACGACCACTAGCGTATAGGGAGAGGACAGCCTGGATGGCAACATACATGGCAGGAGCATTGAAAGTTTCAAACATAATTTGAGTCATCTTTTCACGATTGGCCTTTGGGTTAAGAGGTGCTTCTGTAAGCAACACTGGGTGTTCCTCAGGAGCAACTCGAAGCTCATTGTAGAAGGTATGATGCCAAATCTTTTCCATGTCATCCCAGTTGGTGACAATACCGTGCTCAATAGGGTATTTCAGGGTCAAGATACCACGCTTTGATTGGGCTTCATCTCCAACATATGCATCTTTTTGGCCCATACCAACCATGACACCAGTATGTCGTGGTCGTCCCACAATACTAGGAAAGACAGCCCTTGGAGCATCATCTCCGGCAAATCCAGCCTAAATTTTGATATTTGCAAAAACTTAAGTTAGTCAATATGGATTCAGGCAGCACAACAGTCCACAGCATTACTTCATTTCATAAAAACCATTAATTTAACTAATAGAAATTCTCTATTAAAAGAAGCTTGTAATGTACCTTAACCATTCCAGTTCCATTGTCGCACACAAGTGGTTGAACATCCTCTACATCAGCCATCTTATACGACTAACTGTAACAAAGGACCTCAAACCTTAGAACACACACTAAATGACAACCAGCAAAGGGAATAATAGCAACAGAAAAGAGCTGAGCAAGAGTATGAAACCATGTAATACATGAAATCAACTCAAAAACACAATTTAAAGGATCAACAACATATATAGCTTTTTCACCACTCAATGCAACAAGCAGAGTTAAACTTTAAAAAAAGGCATCCATAAGTTGACATCCTAGCTAACCAAAGCGGGCTACCATAAGATCTATGCAGTTATATCGATGGCGACGTCTTAGCTAACACAAGAAGGTTATCATAAGATCAGTGCACTTGCATATAATTCCATCCAACCACATTGCATCATTGTAGCTATTCCCATCCACATTCAGGAATTCATGTGTTTGGAGGCAGTCAATACACTTGAAATTTTGACTAGTTTGATTTGATCATTCCATCAAACTAATTAGATTTTTCTTGACCCACACATTATGCACCATTGCAATATAGTCATTTGACCGTAAAATGCAATGACATCATAAGATTTTAAATCATGGTAAGCATTGGAATTATCCAATTACAAATTGATTAAAGGGATAAATTTTGGTATATGCTCTCAACGCACATCAAACTTTGCTTCAATCGTAGTACTACTACAAGTTTCCTTGACCAGAAATAACATGACAGCAAACCATATAATTAGTAAAACCATTATTAGTAAATTTCATTGTTTATTGACTACTATTAAAAAAGAATTGTGCCTAATAATTTTATTTTTTTAAAAAAAAAAAAAATCTCAACATTTTTAGAGGTGGACAATTTTGATAAAAAAAATTGATATAATTTCTCATCATGACATCGTGACGCCATTGCAAGAACACGCCAAAAACACACAAAATCATCTTAAAATCAAGTGATTAGAGTCTCAAATTCTCAATGTCTCATATCTTAGACGAATAGGACAAAACACAAATTAGAATTATGGCAATAAGTCGCCGAAACACGACATTTTGTCACCATTACCAACATTTGTTACTGTCTACCAAAGCACAAATCATGACAACATGACGAATCATAAAAGCACAAATCATCACAGCATTCCAAATTACGACGATCATAGCTGATCATCCTGAATTTACGTATGTACTGGAATTACACCAGATCGGAGCAGTAAATTATACGATCAATCAAAATTTCAGAGCATGCATATCAATTTATCAACAATCGACACAACAGAAGCAACGAAACATCAAAATCAAACAATCATAATAATTCCTCGATCATCAAACAAGTAATTATCGCATTAAAAAAAAAAAAAAAAAAAAACACAAGTAAAATCACGTTTTAATCATAATTCAAAAACAGACATTGAAAATGAAGAAATGCAGTTACCTTGGGTTCTGAAGAGGAGAGAGAAAGCGGTTTGGATTTTGGAAGAGTGAAATGAGAAATGGAAGAGGAAGAAGGGAAGAGAAGGGGGGGGGGGGGGGGGGGGGGGGTTTACAAAAATAGGGAGAGATTAAAAAATCGTGGTTGTCCACTTCTTAATAGATTTAAATTAAAAATAAACGAATGTTAGTAATGTTTTAATTTAGAGGTTCAACACCAAAAGAAGCGCTCCTTCAACTTAGTGTTTCTCTCTCTTCTTCCGGGCATTTCATTTCACCACTCATTAACAGCCCAGCTGTCGGACCTGCACGTTGTCACGCTCACGCATCATGCCTCCCCATTATCAGGGAACAAGGGAGGATTTTTATTATAAGGGGCCCAATCTTATTTATTTGGGAGCCATGATCAGGGAACAAGGGAGGATTTTTATAGTAAGGGGCCCAATCTTATTTATTTGGGTCGGTTTTTTTTTATTTTTTTTTATTTTTTCTGGGATATGGACTTACAACTTGGACTATTTATTATAATTCTGAATTTATGGATTGTTGTTACTTATATGACCCAATAGTGGACTAAGGTTGGTCCAAGAATGATTGTTTAAAATTTAAATGGGAAATTTATAAGTTTTGGTCTTTTTTTTTGTCTAGGGAACTAGCTTTGTGCTTATTGAAACGAATCTAACAAAATCTCACAAGAATATGTTTTTCGTTACATATATTTCACAAAAGATGGTCAAAGGAGGGTGGTGAATCGTGTAAAAGTCAAAGAGGATAAAGTAAAAAATAACAAAGGATTTATTTCTTTTAATTATACAACTGCAAACTATGAGGTGCATGAGTGAGTCATAAGACTAGGTAGGTTCAAGTAGAGAGAAGGAAAAGGATAGGAAAAGAAATAATCAATTGTAATAACAATGTAAAGGTACACTATCAATAATAGCAAACAAAGATAACATGATTATTTCATAATTTAATGTACTACATTCAAACGTGATTCATTATTTGGGTCGAATTACAAAGGAACTTTATATATACTCCTTACTTTTGATATTGTCTTCGCCTCTCTTTGTTTACATAGAATTTAATTGGAAATTAAAGCTATTCTTGGATCTTCAATGTGGAAAACCATGTAGTGATAGATCTAGCAAAGTAGGCTAGCTCGAGAGTGTTCACGAGAAATTCTCGTATAGAGAGAATCGAATGTGGAGAAAGAAAGTCCAAGTTTTCAATACTTTGTGAACTTATAATGTGACTATTCAAAATTTATAGGGATTTAGGAGAGCATCCTCCGTAAATTTATGCACTTGTTAGCTGTAAGTATACCTGTTCAACGTGATGAGCTGGGCTGGGCTTTATATGAAATGGGCTGAGCCGGGCCAAGCCTAATCCAAAATGGGTCGAGCTTGCCCATGGGCCATTAAGCCTAACCCTACCCGATCCATTCAAAGTGTGTAAACAAACTACAACAACCATGAAATAAACCCAATATAAGAGAATTATAAAGGGCCTTTTAAGGGGCCTTAGCCAACAAGTTAAAAATAGAGAAGTGAGCAACGTTCTTGACACAAATTTGTTACAATCAAGTAACTAAGCAATGTTCTTAATATAAATTAGACCCTTAAAACTTATGAAACTCGAAGCTGCTCTACATATATTATAATTGTTCCAAGTCTGCTAGTTGTTCCACATATCTTTCCAAGTCTGCCAGCTGCTCCACCTGACATATCTTCAACCAACAACTTTGCAAACCTCATCATCAACCGCCTCCCCAAGTGGAAATCCATTAGTTCGTTTTTTACACATTTCAAGCAAATGACGTATTAAATGAGATGTGTCACTATTTTTGTGGGCAATTAACTCCACTTTACAATGCTTATAAATAGTACTTCACTCACCTTTTGCATTCTTTCCTTCCGTCATTTCTTGCTAAACTTTAGATTTCCTACTCCTTTTACGCTTACGGGCGACATTAGATTCATCAATCTCATCATCTACCGGCATTGACATTGTAGTTGCTTCACTTTCCATTGTGTTGAGAAGGAGACAATGAAACTGCAACAAGCTGGAAATGATAGTAAGATAATGTATTATTAGTCAAAATTCTCAAAATCAAAATGCTTCAAACAAAAATCCCAATACATCATCATTCAATGAAGAGCTTAAAGATGGTGCACCCTTACAATTTGGGAACAATCCCAAAATTATTAGGATTATTAGACTAACTAGCCTCCTCATTCTTCATAACAACCCCAACTCAAAAACTAGATTTTTAGCTTTAGATTGAAAAATCAAGACACCCATTTCATAATTTAATGAGCTTTTAAAAACCCAGAAAAATCACATACAAATTCAAGAAAAAAAAACTCCCAAAATTTCCTCACTTTTTTTGCTGATTTTGTGCTGAACTGAAAGTGTAACGACTATAAAACAAACGGAAAATATGAAACTCAGTAAATAATCTACCAAACGGATAAATGTAGATAATTCAAAGGGTTAAACAAGCCAAAAATGAAGGGAAAAAAAAAAACTTAGATTTTGAGTCAGAAACAGCCAAAAAATTATACAGTCAGAATAAGCTACTTAATTAAATCCAGCGCATCAACTCATAAACTTAAATCAATCACCAAACTACAATAACCAAAAACATTAAAAGCTAAAAAAAAAATGCGTAATTTCATATCAAAGCAATATAATCATGAATTTAATTAAATTTTACCAATAATAAAAGAAGAAGGGTGATAAATTGAAGATTGAGAGCAGCAGCAAGAAGATTCACGTGAGCAGCAGCAAGATTGAAGGAATCAGAGAATTTTTTTTTAGGGTTCATAATTTGGGGGAAATTGGGAATTTTTATTTTCAAGTATCATAATTTGACGTTAGGAAGTTTTAGAAACAAAAAAATTAGGATAAAAAAATCCTCATAAGAATTACCCAATTTCAGCCCCTTTTAACTTAGACCAAACTCTTTAAAAGCCCATTATTTAATAACTCTTTAAAAGCCCACCCCATTTACCCATTGAACAGGTCTAGCTGTAAGGATTAAATTGGCCTTTTGATTTTTGTATGTGTACCCCTAGTCCCCAACCCCAAGTATTAAGTTGAAGATCATTTGGTTGGTTTGTTCCAAGGGTATTTTAGGAAATTCACAATAAAGGGTATTTTAGGTAATTTTTCTGGAAGGAAAGCAGGTCCCATGGGGGAGGCCCAAACATATATGGCTTGTAAACAATTTTGCACACTTGGGTTTACTATTAGCAAAAGGCCAAAGTCCAATGATAAATAAAATCACCAACAATATATTCTATTATTTCTTCAATTTTTAATATCACATGCATTTTTTTTTTTTTTGAAACCAATAATATCACATGCATTTACACAAATATAAAGTAATAAAAAAAAATATTGAGAAGCTAATTGAGTAACTATTTTTTTTATTGATAAATTGGTTACTAATTAATTATTGGCCGATTGTGAAGTTGAGTCGGATTAGAACTTAATTGGTTTTTAACCTATAACTAGTTATTAGCCTAATCGATGCCTTGAATCATCATAAATTTATAAGTTTGATCAAATTAATTTAGAAGGGTTAATGTTAAATAATACTACGTATTAATAAGTGAATGAAGATGTTATGAGAGGTTATATATATGAAAACTTTTCAAATAAATTAAACACTACTTGTATTATAGAGAATAAAAGTTATGCCAATGAAGAGTTTTTTAAAAAGACTAAACATTAGTACAATTCAATATCGTAAGAGAATGACAATGACACATAGGGTAATACGTAGGGCACATGTGGCACCAAATCATATTGAAGGAATTGAAGGGTGATAGATAACGTTAGTGTGTTATCCCTATGAGTTTTAATAATATTATAGATTATTATAGATAGATAAGGTGCACTTAAAAAGTCTTCATCCTGTTGTTTTATTAGAGGAACTTAACATATTATCGTTGGTTAGCAAATTGCCGGGATGTAGCATTGTAGCTACTCGACCTTCGTTCTACTATTTAATATTGTGTATTTGCGCTTTCTGTTTGGTCTTATTTAACTTGCTTTTCTCAGGGAGAAAGTGCATATGTTGGAACAACAAGTGTGTAGTGTGTGAATTTTGTGAAAAACTCAAAGTCCCACATTGGTGGGAAATGAGAGTTTTACTCTCTTTATAATATAGAGAGTGGGCTAAAGGGGTGTGGCCCTTGGGCTACCCACATTTTGTGGAGAGGGAGGACCTATATGGTAAACCATCTATCACACACACGCGCGCCGAACCGAACCGAACCGAGCCGAGCCGAGCCGGGCCGGGCCGGGCCGGGTTGGGTTGGGTTGGGTCGGGTCGGGTCGGGTTTATTAAATAAACTTATTTTTTGGACAAGGCTAATTGCGTGATTAGTTCCTTGATTTTTGCTAAACGTTTTTGACTGATTACATTTGACCGTTTTTATTCAAAACTGATTAATGGAGCGTTAATCATGCAAACGTTTTCACTGATTTTTTGCTAAACGTTTTGCCACGCATTAATCTTCTGTAACCGTTTTGAACGTTCAACTTATGACCGTTTTAATTGCGTGATTAGTGCCTAATTAAACAGCAGCAGTTACGTTGCAATTTTTCCTATAAAAGGCGTGTTGATTTCCTGTTTTTGATACACAAAAAAAAATACGAACAGCAATCTTCTTCTCCTCTCTATTTTTTCCTCACAAATACAAAACCCTCGAGCAGTTTCTTTTCTTTTTGGGTGTTTAGTTGCCCGGTGGTTTTGTGCAGTTCCACCGGTACAATTTCAATACAGAAAGGCTGTTTTATCCTGGGGAACATCCGGTTTAGTACGAACTGCTTGCACCTTTTCAGGGCAGTGCCGTGAATGTTCTAAAGAAAGCGACATAGTCCGCGACTCAGTCTATTTTTCGGTAACTTTGTTCTTACTGTTTTTTGTTCCCGCAGTTCCGTTTATAACAATTTTAGAACACTCTTTTTCTGCCTGTATGAACCATATGTCTACCGAAGATATTACTATGTCTGCTGACCTTAACAAGCCCTTCCGTTTTGAAGGAGCTCACTTTAAAAGATGGAAACAGAAAATGCAATTTTTCTTAACTGTCAAAAAAGTTAATTCTGCCTTAACAGCCCCTCGGCCATTTATTCCTGATAATGCTCCTGAAGATGAATTAGCTTACTTGAATAGTGAAATCGAAACCTGGAATGAAACTGACTTCATGTGCAAAAACTATATACTTAATGGTCTGTCTGATAACCTCTATGACTATTATAATATGGAAAATACTGCTAAGGATTTGTGGGATGCCCTACAAAAAAAGTATGATACTGAAGAAGCAGGTGCCAAAAAGTATGCTGTCAGTAGGTACCTAAAATTCCAGATGACTGATGATAAGTCCGTGGAAGTGCAGTCTCACGACCTTCAGAAAATTGCCCATGAGATAATTTCCGAAGGTATGGCCCTTGATGAACAATTTCAAATTGCTGTTATTATTGACAAGTTGCCTCCTTCCTGGAAAGATTTCAAAAATAATCTCAGGCATAAGACTAAGGAATTCTCCTTAGAGAGTTTGATCACTCGGCTACGTATAGAAGAAGAATCCAGAAAACAGGATCTAAAGGAAGAGATTTTACAAATCTCTGCTAATAATGCTCCTAGGCGATCTGCTGCAGTACTTAAACCTGCTGGTAAGAATTTCAAACCTCAGAACCGGAAGAATAACTTCAATAAACCGAATGTTCAAAAGAACAATGGAAGACAACAGTCACAACCCCCTAAGAATGGTACTGGTCAATTTCTGTGCTATCGGTGTGGAAAACCAGGCCATATGGCACGAAAGTGCAGGAACATGCCTAACCCTGTGCCAGCGCAGGCTAGCATGATTGAAGAGCCTTTTGTGGCTATGATTACTGAGATCAACCTTACTGGTGGATCAGATGGGTGGTGGATAGACACAGGTGCCACACGCCATGTCTGTTATGATCGTCGAATGTTTAAAACATACACTGAAAAGACCGATGATAAGAAAGTACTGTTGGGTGATTCCCATTCCACTAACATTGCTGGTGTTGGAAATGTTGAGTTGAAGTTTACTTCTGGCAGGACTCTCATTCTGAAAGATGTGTTACACACTCCGGAAATGAGGAAGAATTTAGTTTCTGGTTTTTTGCTTAATAAGGCTGGTTTTATACAAACCATAGGTTCTGATTTGTTTACTTTAACTAAGAATGGAATATTTGTAGGAAAAGGATATGCTACTGATGGCATGTTCAAACTGAATGTTGAAGTTAATAAAATTTCTAATTCTGCTTATATGTTGTGTTCTACTATTAATGTTTGGCATACTAGACTTTGTCATGTGAACAAAAGACTCATAAAAAATATGAGCAATTTAGGCCTTATTCCAAATATCTCTCTCAATGACTTTGACAAATGTGATTCTTGTAGTCAGGCTAAGATTACAAAAACTCCTCATAAATCAGTGATTAGAAATTCAGAACCATTAGACTTAATTCATTCGGATATTTGTGAACTAAATGGGACGTTGACCAGAAATGGACAACGATACTTTATCACCTTTATTGATGATTGTTCTGATTATACTTGTATTTATTTGATGAAAAATAAGAGTGATGCTTTTGAAATGTTTAAGTTGTTTATAACAGAATTTGAGAATCAGTTTAACAAGAAAATAAAAAGATTACGAAGTGATCGTGGAACTGAGTATGGTACTGATGCTTTTGTAGAATTTTATAATTCACATGGTATCATACATGAAAGGACAGCTCCTTATTCCCCAGAAATGAATGGAAAGGCTGAAAGGAAAAATAGGACCTTTACAGAATTAGTAGTTGCTATTTCCTTATATTCTGGTGCTGCTGATCATTGGTGGGGTGAAATTCTACTAACTGTTTGTTATGTCTTAAATCGTATTCCAAAGACTAAGAGTAAGGTTTCTCCCTATGAAATACTTCGTAATAAACGACCTAACATTTCTTATTTCAGAACTTGGGGTTGTCTAGCATATGTTAGGATTCCTGATCCTAAAAGAGTTAAATTAGCTAGTAGAGCTTATGAATGCGTATTCATTGGATATGCTATTAACAGTAAGGCATATAGATTCTTTGATTTAAATGCTCGTGTAATTATTGAATCTAATGATGTTGATTTTTATGAGGACAGGTTTCCTTTTAAATCTAGAAATAGTGGGGGCTCGTCCTCCTCTATTATTCCTAAAGACAGGTCTAACTCACAAGACTTGGATGCTGAACCCGAACTAAGAAAGAGCAAGCGGGCTAGAGTAGCAAAAGACTTCGGCCCAGACTTTGTAGTTCTGAATGTAGAGGAGGATCCTTCTACCCTCCAAGAAGCTCTAACCTCAGTGGATGCAGATTTATGGCAAGAAGCCGTGAACGACGAAATGGACTCACTTGAGTCTAATCGAACTTGGCATCTAACTGAGTTGCCACCAGGCTGCAAGTCAATTGGTTGCAAATGGGTCCTAAAAAGAAAGCTGAAAGTTGATGGGACCATTGATAAGTTCAAAGCCCGTTTGGTAGCTAAAGGCTACAGACAAAGGGAGAATGTTGATTTCTTTGATACCTATTCACCTGTAACTAGAGTAACATCGATTAGAGTATTAATATCTCTTGCTTCTGTTTTTAATCTTGTAGTACATCAAATGGATGTGAAGACTGCATTCTTGAACGGTGAATTGGAAGAAGAAATCTACATGGATCAACCGGAAGGATTCGTTGTTCAAGGAAAAGAGCATCTGGTATGTAAGCTAGATAAATCTCTTTATGGTCTCAAACAAGCACCTAAACAATGGCATGAAAAATTTGATAACTTAGTCATCTCACATGGTTTTAAGATAAATGGTAGTGACAAATGCATATATGTAAAATTTGAGAATGACATATGCACTATAATTTGTCTATATGTGGATGACTTGTTAATTTTTGGCTCGAACATTCATGCTGTGAATGATGTAAAGCTATTGTTGAATGCTGAGTTTGATATGAAAGACCTAGGAGAGGCTAATGTAATCCTTGGAATT